GAATATGTTGCTTTGAGTACCTAGGATATAAAACATAGGTAAATACTTTAAATTGTTTTCAAATTACAGAATGGAAAGTCACAAATATTTTTTAACAATCAATATACATTTATTTGAAAACCTATCATACTCAGATACCGTCCATATCAATAGTTTTCACTTTGTTAAAATAATTTACAACTCTCTTTTTGATTTTTGAAGTAAAATTTTTATAGTTACCTACATGAAAAATATCAAATTTCTTATTTTGCCATCGGAAAAAAAAGCGCCACACCAAATATTTTGGTTCAGGGCTTAAAATGATGTTCAAGTATTGTAGAAACAGGAAATCTTATTATTTTGGAGTGACTCGAAAATTTCAGGAGCACCGTGCCATATCTCATTTATGTTATAAAAGTGATTTCCAATTTTTTATTGCTCTCTTCTACTTACCCCTAGAAAAGTTCTCAAAGTCATAGCGGCAAATGGTCCAATCTCTAGATACAGTTCCCTGTTGCACCTCATCAGCATAATAACCATCATTTTTTGCACTCTTTCGGATTCCTCATACCAATTGCTGTTACATAAAGCCATTCCTATTTCAGATCCCTTGAAATTTTGTGAAGAAAATGAAATATTAAAATTACACGATAGTTTTTAATGCAATTGAAAATTAAATACGAAATATTTTTAAAAGAAATTTATTAATAAATTGAAAATTCATTATTTTCTATTCGAATAAGTACGTACATGTACCATTATTTCGTTGGCATACCAATAGTACACCAGTACTCTAAGAAACAAGCTAAAAGCTAACTGACTGCTGTATATAGTGTTGGGTAGAGTCATTTCCGTCTGAAAAAGGAAAATTGGGTTATAAATTTACAGCAAATTAACACTTATTAATTCAGATAAACAAAATATGCACAGTTATGGGCCTCTACAATTTAGAAGATATTATCTTCAGTTCGGGAAAAAAAATATTTAAATTTTTATACGATGACATAGATGAAGGAGGTCAATAAAAATCTTAATGGTGTATGAAAAACTATATACTTGCAATTAGTAGGTATATATTCTGTAAAGTAATGTAATGTATTCTGCAAAGAAGCCGACACTCCAATGCAAAGCAGGTATTATCCTGCTTAGTTTGCTTCTATTAAATCATTTCTAATTAATTGCTCTGGGTACTGGACATTAAAATATGCTCATAACAAGAACCAATATGGTCTTGCTCAAACGATTTTTATTAATCGTATACACTACATTTTATGCTTACGAAGTATTTACTTGTGACAATTCTTCTGATATCTCTCCGAAATAAGAACAAACGGATTTGGATCAGTCATTTAAAAACTATTGATTGGTTGAAGATATATCCCTCAATTTTGGTACACTTCAGTTTCATATAAAATTTTAGCATTAGCTTATCAGTGGTGTTAGTTACTTTATTATTAAATGGTTTGCCTCCTTGTGACGCTTGGTATCCCGACAAAGCCGTGCACTGCGTTGTTTCTACAAGCGAGATAAAGTGACGACAACGTTCATAGTAACTGTATGTACATTGTACCATATTTGCAAATTCTAATAAATGAATTCGTAGAGTGGCATCGGAATTATGAAAGGTCTGAGGGACTTCAATAGCCAAGATTAGAGAATAGCCATTCCCAGATTATCTTCTTTTACAAATTTAGCTAACCCATTTTTAATGAAAGCTTTTTTCTTTTCTTCATAAAGTCGACTATTTAAGACTAGTTCAAAAACCGTGACAAGCAGGATCGTATGTAAAAGTCGATTACACTGTTTTAATTTCTTAGCAGTTAGAAGTAACACGTTATGGAAAGGTTGAAGTTTAGCAAGTTACTTTCTGCGTGAGTGCAAAAATGTGCGAACAGCCGCTTTTCCAGCGTAGGCTGTAGGTCAGGATCCTTTTGTGGGCTTTTGGTAAAGGTTAGAGCTACGGTTAGCAGAAGGTAAACAAAATTTTGTTTTTTGAGTGATATTATTGGAGGACAATCTACTAAACAATTGGACTGTACCAAGTTTGAAGTCTATAAGTTGAATTGTAGATAGAGATTAGGACTCTTGTTAGGAAATAACCATAAATTTTGACTTTTTTTCTTTATACCAGAGAAACAGTATTGAAAGTTTGTTCTACAGTCGCTTACATTTTATATAATCAATAATTAAATGCAGCGGTATTTTCCTATTTCCCATAATTAGCCGATATAAAAGTGATCCCTTTGTTTACTTTTATGAAACATCTAAAATTGACGTCACTTACCACAAGCAAAGTTAGTACTCCAGAAGCTAACTCCACAGAACTCAGTAAAAAATCTAAAACCATTATATTCTTCATTATTAAGTTGTATTCATTTATGTATCTGAAAATTAATTTACTTTTCATTAAGTTGTCATATTAATTCAAAAATGAAAACCATACAATTCCATAACAATACCATTTGATCACGTTATAGAAAAGAAGTAAATATAACGTAATTTGATTTGCTCAAAATGTTTTGCCTTACTCGATAATTTCTTGGTGCTTCAATATGCACTCCCTGAGGGTGATATAGCTGGCTTCTTCCTGACTACAGTGTAACTGATCCTTTATATTCATCGCAAACTCTTGAAAATTGGAAAGAATCAACTTCAGAATCTTAATTTGGCCCACACCAAATATTATGAGACTAAACGCGAAGATGTCTGAGCTGGCAATAAAAGTGGTGGCCATGAAAGCGTCGATCTGTTCCCAGATATAAGTAAGGACATAGTGCTTTTGCTGGTCAAATGGATACCAAGTGCTCAAAGGCAAAGCTTTGATGACTACCGTCTCGTTTCTGTTGGGGTAGTACTTTATGGTGTCTTCCACGTATAAGGGGTGTATAAAGTACAAAATAGCAACTAAAAATACACAATTGTCAATAGCAAGAACCGATGGAAAACAACATACCAATGCTCTCTTTTCTGAAAATATAACAGCAACTCACCCAAGTAGACATTAACAAGAAATATTTTGTTACAAGTTTGGTTCTGCCTTGCATGCCGGTTATATATTTCAATTATTTCGTCATTTCCACTGTTCATCATCTTTTCTTCCAACTTGAATACATTCTGAATGATATTCTTCACTCTCTCCGTCTTGATGGCATTGACTCTCAATATTGCTACAAAGTTTAGTAGTGTTATGCAAAGGTTAGCGACTATTTCATCCACATCCAACACCTCATCGGTTACGATGATGAAGAGCTGGATTATAGCGGTAAGAACGTAAAGTAGGTAGTAACAGAAAATGCATTTGGAGTAAACGTCGTATATTTTTCTTAAAACTGGGTTGTCTTCGAATATAAATGGCCATACTCCTAGCACTGCGCTTATGTATATTGTTATTTTCAGGTGTTCGTTTTTCGGAAAGATCTACAATGTTAAAAAGTGGAATTACATTAAAAAATATTACTATCATTTGTTGTAGGAGGAGGTACATGAATAGAACGAGTAGTTGTGGAAATGTGTTGTTTTAGTACGTTTTATAATACAATTAAATAGAAGCATAGAAACAGGTTCGAACTGACTATACTGATTTACGTTTTTAGTGTATATTAATTTTACATTTTAATAAAATAGAATAATCTCTATGTTAAATTAACTGGTGTAAATTTCAATTTTAAATTAAATAACGATTTTTCACTGACCATTTAACATGACTTCATAATTTTTTGTCTTGTTTTGAAAATGAACAACTTATTACACTTACCATTCTGTTTACAGCTGTTGCAGAAATCAAACTGATATATTTAATATTAACCGAATAGACCCTAAGTACAACAGTGATTTGTCATGTAATTGAGTGTCTTTAACGACGTCCTTCTTGCAATTTTCTCCATAAAGATTTCATAAAACACCTGTTATTTTTCTCTTATTATGCAAATTGTAATCGTTTTGAAACATTTCTATACATTAATTATTTACAACTGTTATGTCTGAATTTTATTTTACATAAATATGCTAGTAAGTATTTTAAGGTTTAATGGTAACTTTTGAAATACAAAATATAAAAGTGTAGTCACTAAATAACTATACACATAGATCAATTGTAATTAATGAGAAAAATACAGACAGCAGAACAAACACAGTTATCTTTTTCTGAATTAATAATAACTTGTTGCAGAAATTTGTTACGCCAAATACTAAAAATTTCCCCTTCTTGTCACAATAATTAAAATTTAATTTATCTATTAATTAATAAACAAGTCAACCAAAACTGTTCCAAAACAAGGAAAAACGTGTACAACGGAAGACCACAGATTCGTGGACACAAAATAGGCAGATTTAGGCTAATTCAACTATATCCGAAATCGCTTCGTTTGGCCGCTAGATGGCCTCAAAGTTCGATAAAATTTATTGAATTTTGTAAATAACTCGAAAACGTAATATTTGATTTCGATTATTTTTGGGGTGTGGACTCTTGCTTTCAATCTACACATTTTGGTGTTATACAGAGTGTTTTCTTAAACTTACAACGCCTACAATATTGATGTAGATATGGTGATTATATCGGTTATGGAACAAGAGGCGTTATAAGCGAAATTTCTTCCACGGCATTTAAAATTCATTCCTCGGTTTTTACAAAATGAAGTGAACCCCTGTCTCCTCCACCTCCTCCGAGATTCAGGCAAAGATTTCCACTGTCACGCCCTCGTTTACCACAACCATTAAGGTAATAGTATTTGGCATATATTTAGCCGGAAAACGTTATGCATACAAGCAAAGCGCTGTTAATGCATTTTGTCATATTTCGCCATAAATTAAAACAGCATACATTAATTTTACATATAAACAGTAATAAGACACTATGAAAACCGCAGTAGTGCATACTCATTAAAAACTTCAAACATTTCTTTTACTTTTGGTGAATATCTCCAAAGTTTTTTGGATAAATTGTGAATCTCCCTGTATATTTGTCCAAGGTTCCATAATATTTTTTATAATTCTGTCTAGTTATCATTTACAGCATATTTTTTTCAATAATATAGAGCTCACGAGCATCACCTTTGAGCAGTGTATTCAACGAGGGGTACATGAGGACATCTAAAGGGGTACGATTTCTTAGAATAGATGGGAAAGGAAAAAATTTAGTTTAGTTTATTTACCAAGTATGTACTTTTAGTAGTTTTAATTAAAGCGTCCAAATGTTGCTGAAATTCCTCAGCCACGTCTTCTTTTCTTAATGGGGAATAAACAAGCACACATTCACTAAAATTTAGAAAATGTCTATGTTTCAAAAAATAAATGTAGTACTTTGAAACAATCTTATTCTGCTGTGATCCACGAAGAGCTCCATATTTCTTACACACAAGAAGCAAATGATTTTTAATAATCCCAAACAAGTTTGGCGAATAAATTTCTGGCCCGCATTCTTGTAATAAATACATTAAAAATTTTAGGTTCCGATGATACATTTTAATTTCACTAACTTTTTTGCAAAACTTGCATAAAACGTATTTCTCAAACCGCTCCATTTTTCAATTGTACAACACAACGATTTTAAAGAAAATGGTCAAATAACGTCAAAAGTCACGATTACCTTGTTTGACATGGATTCCATGGCCTTCTTAATAATATATACATATGAATTTTATTGATATTACATAGTGCTTAAGGTTCTTTGTAAGAAAATATATTTCTACCAACTTTAGTAAAATGAGTATGTGGAAAACTGAGGGATTGATCTACTATCGACTTATTTTTTATTATTTTGCTTAACTAAAGTTGGTAAAAATATATTTTATTGCAAAAAAACTTGAAGCAGTATATATAATCAAAGTAACTTACATACATATAACATTAGGTTAAATAAAATACAACTAACTATTGTGAAATTTTCTTACCGAATACCACTCTAGCTTCAATTAAAAACTGGAAATTTTTTCTTGCACACGAATATTTTTTAGAAAATTCTCCCTCGTCTTCGACTCGGGAGAATTTTCAAAATATTCGTGTGCTCGAAAAAATTTCCAGTAATAATTGAAGCTCTAGTGGTATTATAAGTGAAAATATTTACCTTGTATCTAATATTTAACCTTAGCTTACTAATTAAAACTAAAGTATATTTATTCTAACTTTGGTAATACTAAAATTTAAAAGAGGGGCTACTGGAATAATTTTTTTGAAGGGGTCCTTGAAAGGAAAAAGTTGAATACCACTGCTCTAGAGGATAAAGTCCATTAACCACATTTTTTAGCAGCAAATGAACATAAAAACTGGGGTCCCATTTAGTTAAAAAATATTTTATAGAGATAATCTCTTTAAATCTCAGTGTGAAGTTTATTATGCATAACATTAATTTTAAATATCCTGAGATCTTCATTAATTATAAATAATATAGGTACGTATTAATTTAATTTACTAATTTTTTGTTATAGGTATTCAAACAGAGATAGGGAGAACATCAGGCCTTCAATTAAGCACTTCATTTGCTAGTCACTGCTAAAAACATCAGACATTAAACGGATATTTTTCCACCGCACTTAATACCCAGCTATATTCCAAAAGAGACTAAGTGGTTTTAGGTAAAGGTAAATAATGTGCCGCTGTTAAATGAAGTTTTCTTTTTATTAGGTTAGACAAAGGCCCTCGCTCATCAGGTAGGGGGACAAAAGAGATAGAGAGCGAGGATCTATATTATGGGTTTTCGGCTAATACGTCGGATCATAGAACAACGCTGAGGAGTCTACGAACCAATTACAGGAGTTAGAACCGACTTTTTCTAACAAACAGTCGCATAAATACATGTTCGGCCTGATGGAGTGTGCATCGGGCTTTGTCATCGTCGAGTCCGTAAGATTTTTATTGTTGTTCACCTAGGCCGTCGCAATTCGTTTCTATTGAGCCTCTGATACGTTTGATATGCAGCTGCAAGTAGGTGTCACACTGTGGGGATTTCGCGGAAAAAAGTCATATGTTCAATATACTATTAATGCAATATGCAATGGTATTTTCAAATTTCGAAATAACTGTTACAATCAAATCAAAAAGAATTACTTTGATCAGACTACTAGTTTTTTTTTAACCGTTTCAAACTCATTATGGAGGATATTTCAATAAGCTAAAATTGAAAAAAATATACACTGCAGAGACTTTTATTTTCTGTTTAAAAATATTTGTATGAAAAGAATAAAGAAGCCCTATTTCTCCAAACACTTGGACCTCTAATTTTAGCTACATTTGCCTACAGTTGGAAACCACTACCAACACATTGTCTAATACCAGCTTCTACATTTTAAGTCAATTTCAAGTGCTCCTAGGTGTTCCTTTTTAATTAGTTGCATTTATAACGGAACGCTACATAGGGAATTAGCTTCGTTCGAGTTCGTAAATTCGGAAGGGTGGGGAGCGCTGGGTGCTGCAACCTGACACGCATTTTCATACATAATATTTTTGGTTTCTAATACATACTTATAGAGTAATAGATACTGGTATTAAGTGTTGATTCCTGCATATAACTCAATTTTTTTAGTTTTGATACTTGTACCCCTTTGCTTTTCACCCCCTAATATATATATATATATTTTAATCTGAATTATTTTATGTTCTACTATATAAATAAAATTACGGCAGTCATTAAATTACTATATTTAAAAAAAAAACTTTTTTTCCTCACCTCCATACAAAAATCCCTAGTGTGTGTCGTAACAACACTATACAGTTTTTATAAATGATTAAAAGTCACGTGAGCGCCGAGTTTAGGCAACCAACATTGCACGGCTGATACTGTCAACTAAAAATCCCTAAATCTTAGCGTCGCTAGTATTAATGATTCGTTTATAACGAACAATGCCAAACCGTTACGGCTGCGCACGAGATGATGAGATCACTGATTCTGTGGACTAAAATTGATATAAATATTATTGATTGAATTTTGAGTGAAATTGCACCTAATTTTTTTTTGTGGTTTTCTATTTGATTCAAATTTTATGGCGTCCAATTTTTTAAATAATCGTACTTTGGGAATTGTTTACGTGGGATATACATATTGATAAAAAATTTAAGAAATGTTATTTATGCAGAGCGATTCAGTCATAATGTCATTAATTTTAAGAAAAGATAGAGAAAAATGAGTATAATGTGATGGCGTGATTAAAAAAAAAAATTAAATGCATATTTAAGGTGAAAGAAAATATTTTCAAATCATTATTTAACCTCCCTGTAAGCCTTCGGGCTTACAGAAAATGTTCAAATACATTACCGTTACCGTCTATGCACAAGTGTACATGTTGGATAGATGAGCGGCGGATGCGATAGAATACACCAGGGTTGTTACATATTTCTTCAGCAGCATCTTCGATACGATTCCGCAACTGCTCTACATTCTCTACCTCGGTGTGATACACGACAGATTTCATATAACCCCATATACAAAAGTCCATAAGATTTAGGTCCGGCGAGCGCGCTGGCCGTCTTATGGGCCCTCCTCTCCCTATCCACCGATTTGGATATTGATCGTCTAAAAATCCACGGACATCGCGAGCAAAATGGGCCGGAGCTCCGTCGTTCATGTGCCACATATCCCGTAGCATCTGAAGGGGAAGGTTTTCAAACAATTCTACTACTATTTTCGACCTAGGCTAATCTGTCCAGGTCACTAACCTTCTAACCCACTTTTGACTTGCACGTGCACTATATGACTGTAGTAGGATCGTATTCGATGTAAAGTATAGCAAAAAGTTTGTAAATGTAAACTTTGGTGTACTTATTGTTTTTGAGAAAGTAATATGTTTTTTATCTGTTTAAAATGCCAGCACGAATAAA